TGTTAACCTCATCATTGCCCATGTTCCTGCAGAACCTGAAGCAGCAGCGCAGCAGGAGAGAGCAGTTCTCCCAGCCCCCTGCGTCCTCTTCTCCTCTGATGGCCAACAACTTCAGTGAGTCCATCCTCAGCATCACACTACCACTATGAGTTTGAAAAGGATCATTCTGGGGTAGCTTTATAAGGGCTTGTTCACTCTGTACTGACTATTATTAGCGGGTAAAAGGGAACTGTTATCCTGTCAAACCACTCTGTTTTCATTCCGTTTCACACTAACTGGTGTAACTTTAACACGCAGCACAAATTAAATCCCATTCATCTGACCTCCCCCAAAACTTGATAAATCAATTATTAACTGAATAATTTCCTGCTGTTTATCTTTCCATCTAACATGACTGTTGTGCCGGTCGTTCCTAGAAGCATCATAGAGTGAACACACCTTTATGAAGTATTTGTTTTGGCTTTGAGGCAATATTGGACCTTTCTGGCTGCTGCTCAGTTTACCGTTTTCTAAACATATTCCTCCAGAAAGCTCAGATGCTTTCTGTTATTTACACTGCCACTCAAATGTTTATGAACAGCCTATGTTTCAGCATCTTTGATAAAACCTCAAACATTCTGCTCACTGTTGATATCTTACAAAAATACAAAGTTGTATTTAAATTAAAAACCTTATTAAATCAATTTAATTGATGTAAAAAATCGATCGTTTGATTATAATGGCTTTAATTAGGCCCCTGTATCACACTACATGTAATATAACCATCTTACCTTTTATTGATTGACCTTTCTTTAATACAAATTATACCATTATGTCTAAAGGTACTTGAAAATAAAGGTTTACACTTTTTGAAGTCTAAACTAGGAGACTGTTACATTTAATTACATAATACAAATAATGTGTTGATTTCAAGGTTTCTGTATTTGAGTTTCTATTTATGAATTTGAGTTTATTCACAATGAGCAACTTGGTTGAACTAAGTCAGAAATGCCATAGACGTACAGAAACAGTTTGACTGGCAGTGTATTTCTCGCACAGCTGTTATGATAGGGACCTGCTCCATGTGAATGATTATTACTGTATTTGGTCATCTATAATGCAAAAATTACAAAATATTTTAGGGAGCCGCAAAAAAGGGGCCCAGGAGCCGCATGCAGCTCGCGATCCGCGCAATGGTTACCAGGGCAATACAACCTCAAATTTAAAAGGTATTTCCCTGGAACGTCTGACTCTCCCAGCGGGTATAACTAGTACTCTATGTGCCCGCTGTTCTTTTTGTTTTCCCCCCTCTACCATTGAGGATATCTGTCTGATCATTTTGAAAATGTGTTTGTGTTTTGCTCTTTGTCTCCCCTCAGAGAGCTCGGTCCTGATGCAGGATGAGTCCAGGAGTTTGGGGGACGTAGCCATCGATATGGACTCTCAGAGCAATCCCTTGCAGCTCCAGCTTATTGATGAGCAGGTAGACCGTCGCTGTATATTTGTCAAACTTGTCTTTCTCATTTGCTAGCACAAAAGCTGTGTGTTTGTTAAATAGTAGATTTTGTTTGTCAGTGTCCGTCAAACTTTTATCCACTGTAAACGAAACATTGAAGTAAAATGTAATGAAATGCTTGCTCTAATGTGGTCCTCACGTGTTTGTCACAGGACTCGTACATCCAGAGCCGGTCCGACACCATGCAGAACATCGAGAGCACCATCGTGGAGCTGGGCTCTATATTCCAGCAGCTGGCTCACATGGTCAAGGAGCAAGAGGAGACCATCCAGAGGTAAGAGGCAGCAAGAACTGGAGGGAGAAATGTGGAAATATGCTAGTTTGCTCGTTGTGAATTGCATGACAAGAAGATATCACTCCCATGTCAGTGGGTTGGATATGAAGATCAAGTCAGGTACATTTAGATTAGCACAAAGACTGGAGAACAGGGGGAAATGGCTAGCTTTACTATATCCAAGGCTTAAAGAAATCTACCTCAAAGCCTCTCTGATACTCATTAGTCAACACGTACATTGTTCATTTTCTCTTCGAAATTTGTAAAAGGAAGACCAGTAGAAATATTTACAAGTCACCATTTCAAATGAACTTACCTGTACTAGAACCTCCCAACTCCAGTACTAAAAACAACTGAAACTGGGATACACTTCTGTCTTTAGCAGGCAAGCAACTGGTGTTTTCCTTAACATTGTAAAACTATATTATACACTACTTTTTGATAAACAAGCAATTCTAATTGGGGAAACTGGTAGTAAGAAGACAAATGCTGAAAATTGTAAAATAAATTAATAAATAAAAATGCAGAATTTGGTGGGCCTTTGGATCAGTTAACATGCTTCTTTTTTTTTTACTTTATGTACTAAAATATAAAGAAACATTAAGTTGCATTCTTAATTTACCAGTAATCTTCTTATTGCATTTGTTTTCAAATCCCTTTCTCGTGCTTCTCTCTCAGGATTGACGCTAACGTTGAAGACACCCAGCTGAACGTGGACGGCGCTCACACAGAGATCCTCAAATACTTCCAGTCAGTCTCCTCCAACCGCTGGCTGATGATCAAGATCTTTCTCGTCCTCGTCGTCTTCTTCATCATCTTTGTCGTCTTCTTCGCTTAAAGTAAAGAAGAGGGAACAGCACATCAAAAGAGTGGAAGTGAAGCTAAAGCTGGACTCGAGCGACATGTCCAGACGACGTATTTGAAGGACAGACTTCTTTATTAAAGTGACACTTATGAGGCTTGGGAGCTGCTCAGATTATAATAAAACTTTTCCATTAACACAAAGACTTTCCGGTTGTTCCCAAGCCACAGACTCTGGATCTTAATTTTGACGATTCAGTGAAGAATGAAGATGTCGAACTCTGTCCAAATTAAAGATTAAATTATCTAAAACCCCCAATTTGTATAGAGAGAGAGCAGGAAACTGCTTGTTAATGTACTATGACCAATTATTCATAAACATTTAATCAAAATGGCTATAATTTAATGGTTTGATTCTGCAAACTGTCTTTAATTTTCTTGCTGACCCGAAATGTCATTAATTATGATTATGATTAGTATTATTTCAAAGCCAAACAACTGAACTGGAGTTTATCATCAGATCATTTTGTTTCTTAGTTGACCTACTTTGCATGATTGTGTCCCTTGTTTATCAGCTATTCTTTACTTTTGGATATTTTCTATTCTCTTATGCTTTCAAAGTTTATTTGCCAAAAGGGTACTCGTATAGAAATGTGACTCAATACGAAGACGCTCGCTGCGGTCCTGCATTTCGTGTCCGGAAAGCACAAGAGACAGCTGAAGGGGGCCAGTTTAATTTGGATACGAAATAAAAAAAGTTATATAACGGCACTGTCTTTAAAGGAACGGTTTGGTTGAAAAAGTGTAATCCTCTTACATTCAGTGCTGCAGAAGTCAGCATGAGACGTGTACAGTATCTGCAGGATCCAGGTTTGACATCAGTGCTTATGAAGGGGAAAGTCTGGGTGTGCAGGTCCACTCATAAAGTGACTCAATCAGCCAGATCCCTTGAAGTGTCTGGTTGGATGTCAACGCTGAAGTTCCTTTCCCTCTTAATCTATCCCAATGTTATTTAAATGACTACAGCTTTTTCAAAAGAAGAAAACATTGTTCTCATTTTTCCCTGTCTGTTCCTCTTTTTTAGCCAAATGCCTTGACTTCTATGTATAAAGTGCAAATAGTGATAATGATGTATTGATAAAAGAAGTGCATATTAATAAAATGGTAATGGGGTTTGGCTTCATGGCTGAGATGTTCTTGGGATAAGAGGATTAATCACCAGTGGTATAATTAGCCATGCTGGGAGGCTAAGACTCGCCAACAGATCTAAGCAGGTGCAGCTTTCTGTAACATATTCAACACAACTACACTAGATGTACACAACGTATTTATATTTATTTACAGAGCAGGTTTAGGCTTTCCCACTACAATTTCCATTTCACTTTTGTAGGTAAAGCTTCAGGGCTACTATTTAAAAAATAAGTCTATTTAACATATATAAATGGGGGAATAACAAAGTCACATTAAGTCTGAAATGTACATTTGGAACGGAGCAGACATCTTTCTTGGAACACACCTCAGAGAAGTTAGGAGAACATATCTATATTTACAAATATACATTCACAAAATTAAAAAGATGACAGATGATATGCGGTTTTTCCTTTGCTTGATTATACCATGAGATCTCCCAAACACAAAACAAGTTGCAGCAAAACAAGGATACAAACTAAAACCAGATAAGTACAGAAATAAATAAGAATATAGATAAGAATTACAAAACATTGAAACTTTACAGGAGCATTTATAGACAAAGAGCCACTGTGACTTCTGTCCTAACCTGACTTCTCTCTTCTATACAGAACACAGCTTTGCTCTTGGTTGCACAACATGTATTTAAAGTTCATTAGGTGTGTATTAGTCATCAGGAGCTCCTGCAGCAGCTGTTTGTATAAAAGGATTAGTCACGTCATCCAATAGTATTTGACAGGAAACCATTGTATGAGATTCCTCCAGGAAGTACCGGAGCTGGGGACTATGTTATGCACGTATATCATTCTAAATTGTCAGTCAATTGCTGGCAACTCTTTTGCATTACTTTCACAACATTGTAAATTCACAGTAAATTACTGGCAACTCCTGCATTGCTTTCACAATAGAAATGTAAAAGTACAGGCCCTTGTTGTAATGCATGTCCAACACAATGATGTAATTTCCCAGTAACATACTAATATCACAGTAATTCCTTAGTCATTGAAGCTGAAGTTACAGTATGTTTTACCTTTACAAAAATGCATTGTAATATCATGGATGTGAAATTACAATACATTGCTGTGAAGACGTTCACAGTAAATTGCTGTGAACCTTACTGCGAAAGTCATGCAAAAAATTGCCAGGTAATTATTGTGAATTCACGGTGAATATGTTTACAGTGTATGTACAGCCGAATACAGCCAGCCATAGCCACTGTGCACATTCTCTCCCCCGACTCCCTCACCCCTGTGCACTCTGCTCCAGAGGGCTGATCTCTGGCATGCTCCTGCTCCTTCCCTTTATCGCCCTGGCCTTGATGGCCTCTTCCTCCCCATCTTCATCTTCCTCCTCCTCCTTGTACCAATCCACCTGCTGCTGCAGATTCCCCCTGGAGCCTCGCAAGCCGCTGCCCTTGAAAAGCTGACCTTTGCTGAACTTGCTGCAGAAAGTATCAAAAGAGAGGCTCTTGCTGCGCTGCTGCTTGTGGAAGACAGCGCTCTGAGTCTGCATGTCTTCAGCTCTGTTCACTTGGTCCATGCACTCGTGTAGCACTGAGCGAAACAGCCGGGAAACCTCGGGAACGTCAGGCTCGATCTGAGATACCAGCTGCCTGAACCTGCAGGAATATAACAGAACATAGGGCAAGTTATTGATATACAGATGATCATTCTAAGTGGGGAAGTGCCATCGCCATCAGGTGGGCATTGAAGTCTTTTTACAGGGGTCCACAATCCCTCGCTATACGCCCATGGTAACATATGAACTCTGATTACACCAAAGTGTCCTGGAAAGTGGATTATGTAAAGCCAGTCAGTGTCAATTATTGAATACTTAAATCCTTTTATCTTCAGAAACAACAGTTTAAGATCTCTAGTCAGGTAAAGTCCTCTCTGAGAGATGCAGCATATTATCTAAGTTATAGTTAAGGGTGTTATGAGGATTGGATTAACAGCAGCTCTTCTTCTGTTTCCTCTATTCTATCTTCCTGCTTGTATTTCAAGCTTTCCGTCTTCTCTGTCACATTTACTTTTTCTATGTCTCTCTGCGTTTCCCACCTGATGATCAGAGGGCCACACTGTGCAGGGGGGATCTTGGCACAGAGGTCCTGCAGCTCCAGCAGGTTGCCGGGCGTCAGCTCGTAGGGCTGCGGGGTCGGGTGGGAGGCCAGCCAGCTGTAGTTGGCGGTGGAGGAGGAGCTGCGACGCCGACCCTCTGTCAAACGCTCCAGACGGATGCGCTCAGTGCGCTTCACCATGGCCCCCAACTCCAACATCAGAGTGTTGGTCACCAACTCCTCAGTGCTGCGCTCGCCGGGCACTTTGGGCTCAGAGAAGAAAACTGCAGACCAAGGAAACATCTGGGAAAGAAGGGCAGAGTTGACACACACACAGACACACACACACACACACACACACACACACACACACACACACACACACACACACACACACACACACACACACACACACACATACCATGTATACATCACTTCGGGGGACATTACATTGACTTACATGCATTTCCTGGAGACTTATCCTAACCTTAACCATAACCAACACATGCCTAACCCTAACCCTTACCCTTAACCTTACCCTTACCCTAACCCTAATCCTAAACCTAACCAAGTCTTCACCCTAAAATTAATGATTCGTCTCATGGGGACCTCCAATTTGTCCCCATAAGGGAGGCGAGTCCCCACACGTGACTGTGTAAACAGATTTAGGTCCCCACAAGTATAGTAATGCTCGGCCACACATACACACACACACACACACACACACACACACACACACACACACACACACACACACACACACACACACACACACACACACACACACACACACACACACACACTCAGTCTTTTGCAATATTGTCCTTGTTGAATTTCACCCATTAAAGCATATTAACCCTTAGATACATAAGTGGGTCTTTTTTGACCCGGTGAGGTGGTTTTCTTGAAGTATCTTTGTAATCACATTTTAGTATCATTTCATATTCCAGCTATTCCTCAAAAAACATGTTTTGGATATCGCCATTCACATTTTAAATAAAAATTGTATACATTTTAAGAAATTGTAGTTTTTGTATTACTACCCCAAACTTCCATAAGTGGGTCAAAAATGACCCGCATGCATTTTCTATGGAATCCTCTGGGAACCTTTGATTCTTATCACCTGTTGCTGTCAGGAAAACATTCACTGTAGAACACACAGACTATATCACAAGTGACACCTCTCAGGAAGATTATTTTACACAGCAAGATCTGATACCTGTCAGTATAATAATAATAATAATAATAATAATAATAATAATAATAATAATAATAATAATAATAATAATAATAATAATAATAATAATAATAATAATAATAATAATAATAATAATAATAATACATTATATACATACATTATATAATACATTATATACTTAATACATAATAATACATTATATCTATGAAACCGTGTACTTATATGATTCTGTTTTCTTCAAGCTTGTATCTCCTTGGTCGAATGCACTTACTGTAAGTCGCTTTGGATAAAAGCATCAGCTAAATGTAATGTAATATTTGTATAGGGCTTTTCAAGGACTCAAAATCGCTTTACAATATAAGGGAAGGTGAGGGTGGGGGGTATAGGACTATCAAACTTGATCAACCGGCATGGATTGATGGGGGGTGCTATGAGTAGACAAGAGGAGAAGAGATGAGTTTTGAAAAGGGACTGGAATACTGTGAGGGTCTCAGAATAGCAGAGATATTTTCATCAATATGTTCAACACGTTTTTTTTCTAAATGTAACATTTTTTTCTAAAATTATAAATAGTAACAAATTAAATATAAAATATTTCTAGTGTGAACCAAAATATAATACTAAATATTATACAAGTGATTTTTCTTAACCAAAATGACAAAAATGGCATAAAAACACATATCATTCTAATACGGGTCCTTTTTGACCCACTTATGGAAGAGTGTAGGGTCCAGTCACTCGTGCATCGAAGGGTTAACTTGAATTGAAGAAGCAAAAGATGCGAAACTTGAATGCCATTCAATATTCTGTAAATATTTTGCGAATTTCAGTTTCCATACTCAGACAGCAACACAGAACACTGATAACGCCAGATGAACAGGTCGAACATGACTCACAATAATGACAGTAGCAATAGTCATGTCTGATCAATATGTTTTCTAAAGATGAATCTTATCACTACTTATCCTCCTGCTCTAATAGTAGTTTGATTATCGACTCATCTTACCGTTGACTGGGTTTACAACACTGCAGTGTGTGTTTTCATTCAGAAATCTCCCTGTTTGTCTTCAGCCTTATTAGCAGCAGGCCTCTCTGGGATGGTGACATTAAATAAAGATTTAAACTCCTCAGACTCCTTTCGGACGGCCCACAGTTTATCCTCTGCAGACAGGGCTCCTACTCCGGAGTGTGGACTGTGTCTGTGAGTTTGGGATTGAGAATAAATATAATCCTGTATTAATAAAGAGAGAGAGGAGCTTACATCACATGTTCACTCACCTGGGAGAGTAGTGTATGTCTGACACGATTCAGGTTGGGTGTTTACATAATAGCACAGGATTGTTGGCTATTTACAGCTATAAACAAAAGCTGTAATGAGGTACCATGTTATGGGATTGGGAAAACAATAGTTTTCTTTCAGATAAAGTATTCCCCATGTTTATATGTTTACATGTTCGGATATATTTATACATGTGTGTTAGATAGATACATATCTGTGTGTGACACTATCAGGAATCCACGTGGTCTGTGTTTTGTTTTTGTGTTGACCTTAAAAACGTCTGCCTCATGTGGTTATTGTATTCATGTTTCTGTGGTCTTAATTTTAACTTTTGTTCTTACTTGTGAAGCACTTTATGAATTTGATTTCTGTGAAAGGTGCTATAATAAATAAACGTATTATTATTAACTTTTATTTTATTGGTACCTTTTGTTTTTGTGTTTTTAGATTTTTATATTACTTTTAATTCTATATATTGATTTATTTTTGGGAATATTCGTCACTAAAGTCATTGGAAATGTCTGTTAAGTAAATAAACAAAGCACTGACCAGCATATTTCCTAGTTTCAGACTGAACCCTGCCATTACGTCCAGCACAGACCTGAAAATAACACAGTGTGTGTTTGAAAATGTGTTCCCAGTTCACAAACAAAATTATCCTTCAGACACACCTGTAATTATCAGACTGTTGTTATAGTGTAACCACCCAAGTTATCTCTCAAGTTTAACTCAATACGTGTAAGTTGTTTGTCCCATGGCTAGCATTTTTTATGTAAGGTCAGTGCAGTCAGTTCCTGGGTTTCCACATCACTCAGCACTGAGCCACCAAATCCCAGATTACTTTCAAATCCACAGCCTACCTGGAAGAATGAGTGACTATAATAACCATTATAATCTAATTACAGTTGCCTTTGGTTTGTATACAGTGGATGCTGCTGTAACTAAACAGAAACTGTGTTAATCTACCAGTTTTTAATAATATATTGAATGTTTTTGATTATTGAAAATGCTAGTATTTTGCCCTCCAGTAGCTACAAACACCAGGAATTAAAACATGATATAGGCTTAAATGATTATTCGTTTTGTGGTCTTCCAAAATCTAACCAAAACATTACACCAGAAGGTTACAACATGCAGAAGCGCTGAGCCTACAAAACGTCTTTGCATATGCACTCAAATGTAATCCACTTTAGATTTATAGAAGTTGTTTCATCATGCTACAAAATAGCAAGCAAGATCTTTTTTAGGGACTTTAATGAAAGAGTATCTGGTTAATGGAAAACATAGGCTGGTTAACATAGACTACTGCTATTTTATATGATTTACTGTGTGTATTATATCCCACATAGGCTACATTAGTTCAGCCCCAATGCATTTTCAAAATGCCCAAGATGTAACTCAGATACTGGGCATCTCACATCTTTTAAAAGATTAAGCATTCTATTCTTTGTTGTTGTTCTTTTTATAACTTCATCCCAGAAGGAGGCGACATTGACCTGCAACCAGAGTTTTAGCAAGAATATTTATCTGACCTGTCTATTTTACCTTTACAGGCCTACATCTGATCTGTCCATGGGCTTTTACTGGATAACAATAAAACCCATAGATTCAACTTGAAAGTAATTGCCCTCTGAATCATTTATACACAAATGAAAAGACCAGAGGACTGTTATCTCTTAATCGAGGAGACGTGTGATATGAACGGCAGATTTGTGGTGAGGTCACTAGAGGTCATCAGAGGTGCACACAGCCGCCGCGAGGACTTCTCCCAAAACCAGAGCCCAAAACATTCCCCTTCCACGTCACTATCCCCGCCCCGCCTCGTGCCACAACGACTTTTGTCAGCTGCACGAGACGCGCGGCGTCTTGCCTCAGATATGAAAACTGTCAGTTAACGTCATTTGGAAGCTTCGTCAGTTGGTAGCACCGGTTCCGTTCGGAGCGACCGTTGACCCTTTGAGTAGTAGAGCAGAACCGGAGGCTGTGGGGGCTCACCAGCGGTACCAGAGCCCGGCTCCGGGTGAGACTACCCGGCGACTGGCGCTCTTTGTATCTCTAAACTGCGGGGTAAGTAGCTTTAGTGCGGGGGGTTAGCTTGTAGCATGAGTGCTAGGTGGGTTGTCAGTCACTGTCCGCTGATGAGCCGAGCTCTAACAGCGGATGGAAACGTCATTCTCAAAC